TCCCTGTGATTCAGACTGTACCAGCCTTGGATCTTGATCCGCTGCAAGCTGTCGGGGCGGAGCATTAGACCTCACAGACGAGTGCCGTGGCGGAAACCGAGTGGGTACATCTGCAGGAGGCTGCGTACGGTTCGACGGGGAGTCGCTACCAGATGATCCTCGATTTCCGGCAAAGTCAGTGACCAACGGTGGGAGCGATCCTATCACCGGTGATTCAACTTTGGCACTTGGCTCGGGCTGGGGTTTGATCTCGACTGGACTTGGGAGCTTTGGTGCGGGAAGAGCCTTGCGACTAATGGGCTTGGACTCGATGCTGGCGGATGAGGGCGCCCTGGCTCGCTGCTGGGGAGGAAGCTGAGGAATGTCATTTGGAAGCTCGGGAGATACTTCTGCGGCAGGTTCTGGGGACGACGCAGGCGACAGAGGGGAGATAAATGAATCAACAATAGGGGTTTTGATGTCTTCCTTTTGATATTCAGGCGTAGGAGGCCGTTGCGCACCGGGTCGTGGGGTTGAAGACTTGCTAGTGTCACTCGACGATTTGCCTCTGCGATGAAGGTGGAGCTTGTCCTTGAGGCGATTGAGCTTGGAGCTGTTGCTGCCCATGATTGGAGACTCGGCTACCTGCTCGGAAGCCGGCGCCTGTCGAGTATCTTGACCCGAGAGAGCTGAATTGTTTGTGCTCCCGAGCTGCTGGCTCGGTAGTGTGGAGAACTTGGTGACGCCTTCAGGAAGCTGTTGTTGGGCCGACTGAGATGGCGCAGCGACGGCAATAGTGGGCTTCGTCGCAGCGGTTGAGCCGTGGCTGGTAACAAGCTTTAGGTCGGGGAGCTCGAGGCTCCGCTCGGCCTTGCTGGACCGGCGCCGCCAGAGTTGAGGCTGCTGCTGAGCTCGGGGTGGTGATGATTTGATGGGTGAGATGCTAGACTCCGGTTTAGGCGGGCGATTTGGAGCAGGGGTGGCCGGAAGGTGGTATTTGGTATCCTTGGAAGGTAAAGGCGGCGGACGACTAGCTTTGAGGGGCGGCTTGGGTGCAGCATATTGTTGCTGGTCTTGATGTTGATGATGTTGCTCGACGGAGGCAGGACTAATAAGCGTGCTGGTCTTTGTGCTGATGCTGGTGCTGGCAAGTGGAGCTTCACGGCTCGGGGATGGGTTTGCCTCACTTTGACGGTCGCTGCTGGTAATAGCTCCGTCGGATGACCTGACCAGCGACTCGCCCGAGCTCCGGGAGTAAGCAGACAAAATGCTCGACAGTGATTCTGAAGGGGACGGTGGTGGAGGTTGCTGCTTCTGCTGGTGCCCGGGTTGCATCTGAGGTGGCGGAGGTGGTTGCAGAGGAGGCTGCTTGCCGACAGGCCGGCGTGGGATAGCCATCTTTGGTGGACCGGCCGGGGGCGCATCGGCAGCCGCGAGCAGGTGCAAAGGCGGCAGTGAACGAGGTAAAGGTTTCGCATTTGCCATGCTAGTCGACCTAGGCGGCGGCATGGAAAAATCTTGGGTAGGAGGAAGGCGAGGTGAAGGATCGTCGTAGTCGTAGTCGTCGTAAAAAGCTGGGTCGTCAGGACCTGGGACATCAGGGAGAGCTTTTGACCAGCGAGAGGTGCCTGTTTTAGGCGGCTGAAGAGAATTGACGTTCAACATGGTGGCCATGACGAACTAGGCCGTCGATGGAACAAGGAGAAGGGGTAGGGGGAGCCGTCAACTTGAAGCAAGATGGAACAGGCGAAACACGGAGCGCAGCAAAAGGTAAAGCAACGGGCTGGAAAAAGCGTGCGAGAATGCCGGGCCCTGGAATCTTTTTGATAAATTGGGAACCTTGGGTTATGCGGGAGTCACGGAACGCCCCTCGAGGGATGATGGACCAGCATCCGAGTGGGGGGAGGGAGACAAGAAGTGACCAAGAGGCGTGTTGGAAGTGAAACCACGAGAGATCTCGAGCTCAAGACTGGACTGGAGCAAAAGGTGGTGTGTGTGGGTGGGACAAGGTTCAAGACGGAGAGGAACTGAGCTGAAATAGCAACACGAGAGGAAGAAGTAGAGACAAGAAGCAGGGAGAAGAGGTTGAAAAAGACGAAGAGAAGAGATGCAAGAAGAAGAATTGGATGGAGGAGAGAGAATAACAAGTCCAAGAACTTGTTTTGGTTGGTAGGCCTTACGCTTCCTGCCTGTTTACGGGAGTTCCAAGGTTTCATCACTCTCAGAGGCCGCGGCGCCGTCTTCAACCCTGCCCAGCCAAGGCCAGTTCTTTGGACCGAGCCGTTGGGAGCCTGCCTGCTAACCTCGCTCGCTGTCAGGCAACTAGAGATGCACATGTACTGTACCTTGCACCACGACCCATCTTCATCTCCATCCATCCACATTGGATCGCGGGATGGGCGGAGGAGGCTTGAGAAGTGGCTTGTACCGGACGACTCGTCAAGCCCGTTGTGGGCCTTGGGGCTTTGCAGGGACACTCTGGCGCATTGTTCGCTGTGGCTCTTCCCTCCCAGCGGCCATCCGCAATCAGGGGACTCCCCAGGGCTAAGCCATATCGGCTGAAACAGCCACTAGATTTCAGCAGGGTTGAGGCAATTCAGGGCGGGCTCCGCGAGACCGCAGCAGGAACACCCCCAGGAGCTGCAGTAGCGAGCGGGGACAGTTGTTCACTCCAGCTGAAAACCACGTCACCCCTGGCATTGGCTTTTTTCTTCTTTGCCTTTGATAGCATGTGTAAAGAAAGAAACGAGAGTCAAGACATTGATTGCGGTGCAAAGAGAGAATGGTTGGTATGGTGTGTTCTTTCAACCTCGGTTTTAGAAGAATCTGTCCTGATCATGGCATGAGGTAACCATGATCTGAGCGCTTTGTTCTTTCCGAATACGTCCATATTCACGTTGTGTGATAAAGACAACATTTGGAAAGAACGGCCAAGCCCAGCTCTCCGGGAGTCCGTGATCCACTTTGGCGTTTCTTCTTCTCGTCTTGTCCGTCCCATCTCTTCATCTCGTCTCATTTCTTCTCATGCACAGCATCATCACACCGCACGGAACGGAACCCCGAGGCGGTCAGATGGCATTCACTGATCATTCGCTTCCCTACTTCTCCTCGTGAGAATACTGAATACTTCATTCTTGGCTGTTCAATATTATGCCCCTTTGCACGCGTATAAACCCAGCCTCAATGACATACATTTCAACACCAACGCGCCACGAATTCATGGCCCAAATATTGGTTCCCAGTGGTGAGGTACAGTACATGTACATCAGGAACCCCCAGTCACTGATCGCCCAGCCCGGCCCAGCCGCGTCACTCCCCTCGACTGTGTGGTGTGCGCTCAGGGCGATCGATCCCCATTCATCACAGTCCAAGCATCTCCACAGCTAATTACATGCTGCCGGATGGCACTCCACTCCTCGTGATCCTGCAATGTCTGGCAGCATTGTTGGAAGAGGTCGAAACAAGAAGAAAATTGCCTTTGACAGGGAAACGGCTTATGACGAGGTGGTGCTTACGCCGTGGTTGGCATTGACAGAAAGGCGCCTCGTGGTTTTGTCCGGATTCGTCCTCGATCCGCCAATCTTGACAACACCGATGTCTTGCCCGCGTCAAAGTCAACCCCAGTCGAATGTTCCAAGTTTCATGGCGCACGGATCACCATCATGACGAACCTTCCGGGGCATTGGCTTTTATGCGTGGCGGCCTCTCGGTCTGAAAATCATTGTTAACAAGCTACTGTAGTTTACCACAACTACTCTCGTGCACATACAACATTGACGCCCCTGGGCTTGTACACTGTCGCACATCGCGCTCGCAGCTGTCCGTTCCCGTCTTGAACCAAGAATAACTGTGAAGGATTCTCTAGGATTACAACATCTCTAATCTTTTCAATGCTGCGAGATGAGATGCGTCAGACCTGACAGGGAACCCTCGCGGCAGATGCTGTCCAACAATGAGTGGCATGAAAACAATCATGGCTGCTTTGGCCCAAGACCAACAGCACGGACTGGAAGGCTTCTCGGCCAGGCATCATCCATGCTACACAAGACTAAATCACATTGTTTCACGACTTGAATAGGAACTGCCCGATCTCGTGGGAATTACTCACTCTATGTGCCACAGGCAAAGTTCGTCTCGCCGTGCTTATACCAATGAGCACCCACACCGACAAGTATAATTGGCTTTGGAGGATGCATCTCCTCACATTGACGGCTGCGACGTTTCCCCTGGATAATTACCGAGTACTCCGAACAACAACTCACATGCATTCTATGTACAATACTCCGGTTCCCCTCCCCGTCAGCGCGATATTTTCGTCTTTTCGAATCCGATTGAACGAGTTTGAAAGCTCATTCAACACAAGCACATTCTCGCCGGACTCTGAGGTTCCCCGAACCGTGCTAGACTTGGGCTTTCGGCTGGATTATCCACCACAGGACATCTTTTACCCCAGAGATTGCGTTGAAAAGTTTCAACATGGCAATTTATCATGAGAATCATCCGTGCTACCAATCTCGGATACGGCAATTCTTCGTCTGAATAACTTCAGATTCTTCCATCACGTTTCTAGTCTCCAGTATGACACAATCTACCGTTGATGGGCCAGCGGGGGACGGCCCGCAGCACACCCTCTCAATTCGGGTTCCGATCGCTGCTCAGATTTGATTCCGGCTGCAGGTCCGGTCCGAGACAAACGTTTCCTTTGATTTCTTATCTCCAGCCTCTTCCGCAGCATCGTAGAGCTTTTGTTTCTTTCTCACTCAGCTGCATTGCTTTACCAGATTCTTTAATTCGAAGCTCAAGCCGAGGACGAAGCTTCCAGACTTTGGCGTTTTCCTCCGCCTCGAACAGGTTGCTATTCCGGACTAGAAATGACAGGCACTTTGACATCTAGCAGAGCTTCAGCTCCGTCCGAGACATCACCCCTCCTCGGAGACCGCAACAATGGCGATGGTATCAATGGAGACGCAGAAAATGGCCGAGTGAACAGCAATCATGTCCAGGAGCCCGTCAAGGCAAAAATGCACCTCATCCTTCCGGCAGTGGGCATCGGTGTAAGAAACCGATAATGCTACCCGCTATCACTCATTCTAAACAGCGTCACTAGGTCTATATGGTTGCAATTGATCAGTTACTGACCGTAGCAACGTATGCCAAGATTGGAAACGAGCTGAACGCTCTCAACAACACCAGCTGGATTGCCACAGCGTGAGTCAAGTCAGAATTTTGAACACAGGAGACCTGCAGAGCTCTTAGGACATCGTGCTGATCCTTGGCAAGCTACTTCCTCACTCTCACAAGTTTCCAGCCTCTTTACGGCAAGCTCAGCGACATCTTTGGCCGGAAGCCTTGCCTTCTCTTCGCTTACACCATCTTTGCCGTCGGCTGCCTCGGCTGTGGTCTTGCACAGTCCATGGTACAGTTGTGCGCCGCTCGAGCCGTTGCAGGCGTTGGTGGAGGTGGCATGAACGCTGTGGTTTCTATCCTTCTGAGCGACCTCGTGCCGCTGAGGGAGCGCGGGATGTGGCAGGGTTGCATCAACATTCTCTGGGCTGCTGGGACGTCGACAGGAGCGCCTCTAGGAGGTCTGCTAGCTGACTCGGTTGGTTGGCGATGGTGAGCTTGCCCTCGTGCCATATCTTGTCATGGACGAGCACTCATATGCCCCAGGTCGTTCCTTGGACAAGTTCCACTTTGCTTTGTTGCCTTCGTCGCCGTCTACTTCGTCCTCGATCTCCCACCGGTATCGCACGACCACTGGCTCACCAAAGTACGCCAGATTGACTTTCTAGGTGCCTTCACCCTCGTCATCGCCGTAGTCGCCCTGCTTGCTGGCCTAGACTCTGGCTCTAACTTGGGCTGGTCACACATCATCACCATCGTTGCGCTGTCTCTCGCCCCTGTCCTCTTCGGGCTCTTTCTCTTTGTTGAGATGAAGGTCGCCTCGAATCCATTTGCTCCTGGGCACATCATCTTCGACCGCAGTTTGTTCGCGTGCTACCTGGTCAACTTCTTTGGTGTGGCGGGCCAGATGGCAATCCTCTTCTTCATACCCCTGTTCTTCCAGGCCGTTCAGGGACTCACTGCTACTCAAAGCGGTGCATTGCTTGTCCCGGGCATGATTGCTGGCGTGATTGCCTCGCTCCTCGGTGGATGGATTATCAAACGAACCGAAAAGTTCTACGCAATTACTGTGTCTGCGTATGCGCTATTGTTCGTTGCAGCCCTGCCTCTGGGGTTGTCCGTTTGGTTCAGGTCAACCACTGGAGAGGTCATTGGCCTGGTCGCCACTTCTCTTGGAGCTGGTTGTGGTATGTCTATTGCATCTCATCGCTGACCGATGTGACTGGCCCCTTACTGATCAATCTCTCAGGCATCACAACGACACTTGTGGGTCTCTTGGCCAATGCCGCTGTCGAAGACACAGCCGTTGTCGTTGCGTGTTCGTATCTCTTCCGCTCTCTCGGCTCCAGCATCGGTATCAGCACTGGATCTGCCGTCCTCCAACAGGTACTCCGAACCCAGCTGGCCTCCCGACTCCCCAACGGCGACGAGGCCCGTGAGATAGAGGAGAATGTGCGACAGAGCTTGGATTATATCAAGGAACTCCCGCCTCACCTCGCCGCTCAGGTCCGTTCGAGCTACCAGGTGGCAACGCTTGGAGCTATGGCGTTGATCACGATATACCTTGGTGTATCGTTCTTGACGGCATTCTGGATTAAGGAGCGACCCCTCAAAAGGTAAGAGACAGCCGGCATTCATCGCATGAGTCTATTTGAGGGACGCAGAGAATATGTGTGAAAACATACTGTAATCTTGGTCGATCTATAAATTGTATGATAGATATGAGGTCTAAAAGTTGGGCATGATGGCATAAGAAATCAGGTACATTCCGAGTCGTCTAGGTTGCGTTATGTGCGTGTATGCAATCATTTACGATTCATCTTTCGTCTTGGTGAGAGGTTCCAGCCCGAATATCTCATCCGAGCGAAGAGGGTTGCGGCTCTCGGTAACCTCCCCGAACAGGAAGGCATTCTTCTCGCGCTTAGTGCTGTTGGACATTTTCTTCTTGTGCTGAAGTGGCGGTGACTTTGCTGACGATGCTGAAGATTTCGACGGTGCGGACTGGTCTGGCTCCAGCATCCACGAAAAGGAGGACTGGGCCAACGTTGATCGAGTCGGGACAGGGGATGGCCGTACTTCTGCCTGAGCAGTCTTGGTGGCAGAATCTGGGTTTAGGCCGTCCCCAGATGTATCCATACGATCAGGGTTGTTTGGTGCTTCTTCCTCCCGGGGAGTTGGGACCGCTTCAACAATCCGAAGACCGGAGATGTCCACTTCCGCTTCCATCGGAGGGATCGGCTGTGGCTGGACAATAGTCGTCTCTGCCACCACCACTTCCCTGGGGCTCTCTTCAGACGGCGGGGAGTCCAGTATTGGGACTTCCATGGAAGAATCTTCCAGGTAGATCTTGACAAATTGGACCTTGGCGGCCGCAACCTCGATGAGGTCAAGGCTCTTGGTCTTGTCTTCCAGGTTTGAAGCTGACACGGCCTTGAGATTGTTGACCGTCTCGTCAAGCATGGCAGCCAGCTGCAAGTTGCGTCTCTCCAGCGCGGCAAGACTATGTGCTGCTCCCTCCTCGCTCATTCCCTGTCGTGGAGACCTGGGAGTTGATCTGGCCTCGTTGATGTTGCGTCTGATTTCTCCCATAGCATCTCTAACGGCCTGGTTGATGCCGAGTTTTTCGCCCCTTTCAAATACCCCCTTTGCTCCTTTGGCTGCTCCTTGGAACAACGCCTCCATGCCACCTTGCTGCTGAATAAATCGAGACGGCGACGGAATTTGTGATCTCGATCCGATTCCTCGTTGCCTGAGCGAGTTGAAGGCACGGAAGCTTGGGGTGGCTGCTCGCGAGTTCTGCGAAGGTGATGACACAGTCGGCATCCTTCCGGTATACTTCATGATGAGAGACGCTCCGCCAGATGCGCTAAGATGCTCGCGGAGATACAGGGCATCATCAACAAACGTATGAGGGCCGTGAGACGGCGATGGGGCGGGATACTTCAAGAGCAGCTGAAGGCAGACGGAGTAATCCGCTTCTAATACTGCAGTAAAATATCAGCACCTGAAGAGGGGAACTGACAAGACAACTTACAATCCCATCGAATGCGGATCAGCATGGCAACACAGATGAGGTCTATCAAATCTAGTGATGCGTCGACGGAGAATATCGTATCCCATAGGACCAGAAACTGCTCGAACGGGAATTCTCTGCTAAAAAGTAACCGGATCCATCGACTAATTTTGTCAGCAAGAGCGTATATATGAAGAAAGTTTTAGACCATACATGAGAAAGATTTGCGGCAATATCTCGATATTGGTGAGATGTGCAGCGAGTTCCGGGTCCACCTTTTGAAGGCAAACCTCGTGAATGAACCTGCTTCTTTCGACGATAGTAGAACTCTGCTCGGGGAACTTGGAGGGCCGCAAAGGGGTTCCTGGTATCGCAAGAGAGTCCTTAACTTCGTAGAATGATTGCGCATGTTCCATTAACCTGGAAAAGAGGATGAAAGCGTCGTGCTCGACAAAGGAAGCATCCAAAGTCTTGATAAGAGCATCTTCGGGAGAGGCGTCCGACGGTATGGTTGCCGGGTCCAAGGTGTCTTGCTGGATGACGTGCAGAATAGGGGCGAGAAGCTCATGCATGCCTTGTCGATAACCGCCTCGCTCAGGGTTAAGTTTGCAGTACATGAAAAGGATGTCCAGGATCATGGCCTGGGTTTCATCTTCATGGTAGGATGCTTCGTCCGGAAGTCTCTGGACATCCTGCAGGATCTCAGCGCGGATAATCTCATCCTGACGAACCGTGTTCCAGGGAGACTTGAGTTGCGGTCAGCCGTCCAGTCAGAGTCTAAGTTGCAGCACAAGACTCACAGCAGGATCATCTGTTAGAGGGTCTATACTGAGTTCAGCAAGGGTCTCTGGGTGCTTGATGTACTTGAGAAAATGCTCCCGCCGCTCAGTATAGAGGCGTCTTCCCTCATCAAGTGTTTGAGACCAGCTCAAGCCCTCAGCCGCAGTGGATAGTAGAAAAGTCTATCAGGTGTCAGAACTTGATCCAGCATCAGCCAATGATGGAGCAGCTTGACCTACCTTCCAACACACGGAACGACATCCCGATATGCATGGACTGGAAGGCCCATTATATCGGACGGCTCGTTGCAGGTCGCCAAGATGAGCGCCGTGAACTTGAGTCTCACGCCATCTCGGCCTGCGTCAGGGTTTGTCAGTCAATTCAGTCGCTCTTGACGGTGCTCGCAACCCACAGCAACTCTTCCAGAGGCCTCATGATGCTTCGTGGCGAAGCAAAGGGGAGAGGCTTTGCCGTGTCGCAAGAGAAGATGCAGAATGAATGAGATGAATTTGAGGCCGTCAAAGGCGAAGGAAGGGGCCTAGGCAAGTTCCATGGATCCAGGTTGGCGGTGGATGGACGTTGGCCCCACTCTCAGCCTTCTGTTAGCGCTAAGTCCCCCGTGACAGGCTGCCCGGGGGTCCTACCAGAACCTCGAGGCTTCCGCGTTCAGGGGGCATCGCGCTAAACAAATAGCCACGACTTGTGATGCCTCGTGCATCCAATCCATTCTGACCACCTACGTCAAGCCTTGTGCTCACCAGCACCCGCCGTTATCTACTGTGTCTGCTCTCATCCGCTTCCATACCCGCCTCGTGACCGCGAGCCCGGGAACGATGCTTCATCGGACGAGCCACCATGTCTGCCGATCTCTTCGCTGAGTTCAACAGCCTCTCAAGCAACGCTACGCCTTCACCTGCCCAACAGGCCGCTCCTTTTCAGGCCCAGGTGCAGCAGCAACAACCACCACCTCAGCAACCACAACAAACTGGAGCCAAGGATCCGTTTGATTTCTTCAATACTACCAGCCATGCTTCTCCCATAAGCACACAGCCCTGGCCTTCACTTCAGACCCAACCTGCAGCGCCAGTCTCGTGGGGAAGTACTCCAGCTCCGTCCAAGCCGGCAGCAGCGGTTGAGGACGACGATGACGGATGGGGGGATTTCGAGGTAGCTGAGCCTTCAAAGCCCTCACCCGCAAACCCTTCTCCTTTCCAGACCCCGACTCCTACACCTGTGTCTGTTCCGGCTTGGGGCTCACCAGCTGCGGGTCCAGCCAGCTCACCCTCAATACCATGGCATAACCCAAGCCCTGGTCCAGCTCTGGCACAGCGAGCGCCGGCTGTTCAGCAACCCCCAACTCGGGTTGTGAGGGCATCCACACTAGATCTCATGTCCAACAGCCTTGTCGATATTGGCACACTTCCTCAGAAAACTTCTGGCGTATCCCAGGTGCAACAACCTGCTCCTCAGTCACAGCTCCGACAACAGTGGCAGCATACGCCAGCCCAGCAGGAGCCGCAACAGCCACGCATGAAGGCCATGCTGAAGTCTTCAGCTTCAAATGACCCCAGCGTTCTTTTTGATGCGGAGGACTTTGAACTTCAGGTGGCCGAGGGTGATGAGGATGACGACGACGACGAGTTTGGGGAGTTTGAGACTGTGGCCCCCCCTCCTCCATCTGCACCAATACCGAAGGTAGTTCCTACAACGGCCCCTACGAAACCAGCAACAGCTCTTCCATCGATGGACCTCCTTTCATTAGATGAGCCAGAACCGCCAAAACAGCCAGCCAAGAAGCAGCCTCCCAGCCAGCTCCTCGGTGGTCTTGCTTTCGGTTCCACAGCTTCAAACTACCCTCAGGCGCCAAAGTCTCCGTCCTTTCAAGATCGAAACCCTTTTCCTGACTTGGCCATCAAGACACCGACTCCGACGGAACCTAAGCAAGCGAAAAAGCCCAAGGAGCCATCGCCAGTCACGGCATGGCCATCTATGGACAGCCCGGTGGCCACCAACGCAGCCAAAGGCAAAGAAGATGATGAAGGATGGGGGGCTTGGGACGACTTTCCAGCTGCCGACAGTCAAAAGGCGGGTACCGACTCTTCAAAACCAGCCGAGAGTTGGGACTGGGATGCTGTCGACAATGTCCAGCCATCTCAGAGCCATGTTCCAGATGATGCTCCTCCACCCATCAATGTCCCGCCTCCATCAGTGATCCTATCTGTGTTTCCCGACCTCCTCAACTCGGGTAATGCTCTATTCAAACCTATATCGGGCCAAACGGCGTCGATTAAGCAGCGCATTCTATCAGACCCAAAGGCTGGGGAGTTTCTACAGTGTTATATCCTTCTAGCGATGACAGCCGCCCGGGTCATTGCGGGCCGCAAACAGCGATGGCACCGAGACAAGATCTTGGCCAAAAGCATGTCGATCTCGGCCGCAGGAAGCAAGGGCATGAAACTTGCAGGAGTGGACAAGACGCAGTCAGCACGTGAAGACCGCGAGGCCGCAGATGTCGTCGCCGTGTGGCGGCAGCAAGTCGGCCGTTTGCGGTCTGCCGTTGCGGCGGCCAAGGCGGCAGGCAAGGGTTCAACAGCACTCAGGGTCCCTGAGATTAGCGAGAGCATGTCGGTGCAAACGGCCAAGATGGTACCGACGGCCCCCAAGGCGTGCATCATCTGCGGTCTCAAGAGAGAAGAACGGGTGTCCAAGGTGGACTTTGAGGTGGAGGACAGCTTCGGGGAGTGGTGGGTGGATCACTGGGGACACAAGGCGTGCAAGAACTTCTGGATAGAACATGAACAGCAGCTGAGGCAGCGATGAGTCGGGGCCAGATACTCCGAGCCTGGGACATAGCTATGTATGTCAATATACAGTCGTCGTGATATTGGTCGCAGTTCTGGCCTCGCTGCAACGTCAGTGGCCTGACGGCCCACCGTTTCTAGAAGAAGAGCATTCAATTGAAAACATATGCACTCACTCACGCGATGCGGAAAGTCGTCTATATGTGAGGACGTTGGCCACAAGCATCACACGGCAGAGGGTGACAGAGCTCGGCGAGGAGTGACGGGTGCTGTTAAGCTGCATGCCTCCATGGTGACTTATGCAGGCCTCCGGCAGCGTTGCTCCACCTGATGGAACCATCCGAGAGCCAATCTGAGAGACTATTGATGCAGCCAGGTGACGGGGAATTCAAAGAAAATCAGCGTCACAGGGAGGGATCTGCAGGTAAATTGAATTTATACGATCAAATTGTTGAGCTGAATCCAACAAAATGTCCCGAAAGTCACCGTCCAACAGTCGCCGTCAAAGGAGCCAACGGGCTTGAGCACGGACGGATTGCGGGGTCGGACCGTTGCACGGCATCTGAACTCCTCCGGGGGGAGCACCGGCCGAGCCGGAAGCGGAGGGGGAAGAAAGGATTCTTGCTCAATCTAGAAAAAGCCTGCGCATTGGCTCGCCGAGCCGCTCGAGCGCACACAGCGCTATCCTGCCCGCTAAGAAGGATGATCCAAGTAAGTTCGCCGAAGAACAACATTGCGAGGAGGTTGGGGGAAAGCTGCCCGCGAAACACCCCTGGATCACCCAGGCCAATAAGCCCGTCAAGGTCGACTTTGGGCCTGTCATTGGCCTCGACTTGACGCTGCTTGAATGATCTGATATCAGGCATAGTTTCTCCATGTTGTCGTAGAAACAGGAGCTCTTGACGGCCAACTCCAGAGAGGGCCAGGAATTACCAGGGGAACAGGCGGCTGAGGGGGCTTTATCTTCCAAGGTTCTTAAGCCAAGCTAATCGGGCTACTTAAACGTCCACATATATCCCCGCACTCCAGACGAGATGCTGATAAGCATAAGCAAAGTTGACGGCAGAATAGATAAGAGTTAAGGATTTAGCGAGTCCCTGCGTCCTTTTGTTCATTCATCTCCTCCTCTCTTGTCCACCACAGCGACGGTCAACTCACTTGTGATGGTGGTTCTGGGAGACCGTTTCCTCCAGGGCTGGCCCACTCCGTAAGGACAGGCCCCGGGCCGAGTGGGTGTGGAAGAAAACTCCGAGTGACCAGGCACTAGGGTCAAGAAAGAATATGACACCTGTACAAGGAAGCATCATGTCCTTGTTCAAGGATAGCTATCTCGCGATAGTGAAGGGCGTTGAATAGTACATAAGCAGCTTTTAAAGTATCCAAAGTATATGATAACATTCTTTCTGTCATTAAATGATAGAGCCCGTCACAGGATACCTGGGTTTAAGAAGACATGGAAGTACTCTGCCCTTCCTCTGTCTCGTTTATTTCTTACCCCACATGCCAGGTGCTAGGTGAGTGGGGAACGGCGTGGCATTCATTCACCTCTAGACCATTCATTCCCTGGTAGAGATGCCAGAAACCTGGGATGGGTTGCTCAATGCTCGCTTGATGCTCAAACAGGAATAGCGGCACATGCCAAGCAATTTTTTGTCTTTGTACTTGTGCGTGGAAGGGAAAGAGGCTGTCGCGGGAGGCAGCAGGGCCAGCGTCTGCCACGAAACATTGTTCGGGTTTCCGGGTCTGATCCGAAACCTGTGTCGCGGGCTGGGGGAGGATACCCAGATGCTCACGCTTCACTTCCTAGAGGTGGATGGTATCATGGATTTCGGATGTGCCCAGATAAGATGGAATGGAAGAGTGGGAGAATGAATGGGCCTCGGTTGGTGGAAGTCATCTCGAAGGGCACGTGTAGCCTTAAAAAATGGAACGGCAGGTGGCCCAACTACCGCTCGCCAGTACCTTGCCTGGCCCCGTCATTTGCGGCTTCCCGTCTCCAACGGTGCCTTCCATTCCATCCATTACCTGCCTATGGACAAGCAAGCACCTGGAAGTTCTCTGGTCTTTCCTTCCCTGGGTTTCAAGTGGCAGGAGCGTCAATCAGTCAACAAATGAGCCTCCACTTACACCCATCTCCCAACCCCCTTCAACCTCCAATCGCGAGGTCAGGACGGCCCTCGATGCCCATTGAATAAAGAGGCCAGATGTCCTATCGCAAGACGAGTCGCACGAGTTACCTCAGACGCTTCATGTACAATCGGGTCCCTACAAATGCCCGTCACGAGGGGCAATGTAGAGCTAGCACAGTACATGGCAGAGGTGACTTTTGAGCTGGGGCAGGAGGCGTGGGTGTGGATGTCGGCAAGTGGGATGGGAATGGATCTGGGCGCACAAGCTACAGCTTCGGTACTCGGCGAGAAGGTACACATCCCCCTCAGTAGCCGTGTCTCTTCCGCCCTCATTTATTGAACACAACGAGGGAGCTGGGATCACTGGTACAAGATCGTCAAGTATTCAGCCCATGACCTCAGGTGGTCATAGCATCCTGTCCCTCGCTGGGCCATGCAGCACCTCCCTCAGTGAGTGGAGTGGGGGAGCCGGATTGGATGGAGGGGAAGGAGAGACTTGCTGCCGCTGCTGCAGCTCTGCTCTGGGCTTTCTGTGGCCCTGGCAATGGATCCCGTCCATGGATGGGCATGGCCTGGCAGGCTCTGATTCTGATTCTGCTGGGTTTTTGGCTCTGGCTCTGGTTCTGACCCTGGGTCCATTTCCAAGTTCCATCAAACTCCTCCACCTCTTCTTCTATCCTCCTCCTTCACCCACTCACACACCTCTCTCACCTCACTTTACTTCACCTTCACCACCTCTCTTCTCCCTCTCTCTCTGCTCTCTCCATCTCTCTCGCCCTTCTCCTCCCCTCTCCTCGTCCCCCTTCCTCACTTCAGTCTATTCCGCCTCCACTTCTCTAGTTGTTGGCCTCTCTTCCTTCACGCCTACCGTGCAATAACCCATCCGCCGCCGCCGCTTTCTCATCGGAGCGCTCGCGACCCTTGACCCCGCTATCCCGCCTCGCGTACACGACCGCAGAAAAAAAATACACTGCACCACCACCCATCCCCATCCCGCCGCCCCCGCCTTCTCCAGCATCCTTCTGCGTCCTCGCATCACCCCCAGCGTCGACGTCAAGGTCAGTGAATAGTTTTCTTTACTTATGTTGGCTCTTGGCTGCGCCGGCGCGTTTCAGTGCTGGCTTGGTTGTGCCTGCGCGCATGAGTTTCATGACTCTAATTGTGCGATGCGGTGCAGCGAGGGCCAACCATCCGACACGCGGGTTTGCGCGTTGGAGCTCTCGTTTTTTCTTCAAGTTGTGTTTGAATAAGAAACCCTCTAACATATAGAACAGACTCCTTCGGACATTTTTCTCTTGTCCGCTCCCTTGCTCATTCCAAACTTCGAAAACCATCTTCGCCTCCCGCTTTCCGACCCTCCAAAATGTCGGCCTCTCAGGATACCCTCTCCCCCAACAACGGCAGCGATATCATCGACCAGATGGATCAGCTTAGAATGGACGAACGCCTCGGTCCCGATGGTGAACCCGCCCCTAAGACGGACGAGGAGTACGCTCAGGCCCAACTCACCCTTCGCGCCATTGTCTCGTCCAAGGAAGCCGGTGTCATTATTGGCAAAGGTGGCAAGAACGTCGCCGATCTGAGAGACGAGACTGGTGTCAAGGCTGGTGTCAGCAAGGTCGTACAGGGCGTTCACGATCGTGTCCTGACCATCACTGGTGGATGCGACGCCATCTCTCGGGCCTATGCCATCGTTGCTCGGGCTCTTCTCGAGGGTGCCCCCGCCATGGGCATGGGAGGCATTGTTCAGAGCAACGGCACTCATCGTACGTTGAAATTTTTCCTGATGAAATAAATAATTTGATCCAACATACACTAACATTGCTCTTCTAGCCATCAAGCTTCTCATCTCCCACAACCAAATGGGTACCATCATTGGAAGGCAAGGTCTCAAGATCAAGCACATCCAGGACGCTTCAGGTGTCCGCATGGTCGCCCAGAAGGAGATGCTTCCCCAGTCCACCGAGCGGATAGTTGAGGTCCAAGGAACTCCCGAGGGCATTCAGCGTGCCGTGTGGGAAATCTGCAAGTGTCTGGTTGATGACTGGCAGCGAGGCACCGGAACCGTCCTCTACAACCCTGTTGTTCGCACTCAGCCCGCCAGCAGCACAAGCGTTGGCAGCGGAGGAGCGGGATACAGCCAGGGCTCAGGCAGGAGCGAGTACGGTAGCCCTCGCGTCATGCGAACAGGTAATGGCGCCGACTTTAGCAACGGCAGCTCAAGGCCCTATAATCGCCGCTCTGATTCTGACGCAGCCATTCGAGGCCCGCCTACCCATGACGAGAACGGCGAAGAGATCCAGACTCAGAACATCAGCATTCCTGCGGACATGGTTGGCTGCATCATTGGACGTGCCGGCAGCAAGATCAGTGAGATCCGCAAGACATCAGGTGCTCGCATCTCCATCGCCAAGGTAAGTCGGGTTCCTCTACGGAGCTAGTGGCAGCATAGCTAACCCAGATACTTGTATAGGCGCCTCATGATGAGACTGGCGAGCGCATGTTCACCATCATGGGCACTGCCAAGGCCAACGAGTCGGCACTGTTCCTGCTGTACGAGAACCTCGAGGCAGAGAAGATGCGCCGCAGCCAGCTTCAGGAGCCCGAGTAGGCATCTCGTGGCGCCTGAAATTCTCATTGAGTTTTGCTTTGCGTGTTCCGTGCGACTTGCTGAGGTCAGTTCTGGCAAGGCGACCTGGGACACTTCCAGATCTGACTTGCCGCGAGGCTTGTGTATTCTTTGGGGACGATACCAAACGACATTACCATGAACGGCCGACTCCTCTCGACGACTCTTTCCCCTCTGCCGAAAAAGAAAACCCCCCATCCTCAACTCCGTTTCCTTTTCCTAATTGGTCTCAATCTCATTATTATTGCAAAATCAGGCGGGTTGTGGCTACTACTCGTCACCCCGTCGCCTCTTTAACCAACCAACCCTCTTTGTGGCGCGATGTACCGATATGCATCTCATGTGGCATACCGTCTGTATAAGTTTCTCTCAACCGGATGCTCGGGACGACTGCTTTTCTCCTCGGAGTTATGGTTTCATGGCTCTGGATGGGCATGACACTGACACAGTGCTTCTAACGACTGGCGAAGCATGGATGTCGGGCTTGGACCCGATATGGACATGGCTATGGCTATAGCTATGGCTTGACGACACAAAAAACAAAATCACAACACCCCTCAGAGTCGGTAATGATTGGGACAGCGCAAATCCTTGGGGGCCGAGAAGGGCACATCACGGCCTCTACCTTTCCTCACCTCAGTCTCTCTACCTCACTCAATCTTGGCGTCACCTTCCCCTCCCTTTCACCTCGCACAACTGTTTCTCTCTCTTACACGCTCCGCTCGGATTCCGACATTGTCACGCGACCTGCGCCTCCCGACTTATCGCTCACATAATCCCGAATCACGCACGCACGCATCGCTATTACATACCCCCATCACAATCACAATATTCCATCCATCCATCCACCCACACACGCTGGCTCACTTGATTGTGTATTTTGGTTCCTCGTGAACTCGCACTCGCATGATGCCTCTCCTCTCGTCTCTACACGGATCTGGGAAAAGCATCATTAGCTGGGGGCAGATATAGGTCAGGTTGAAGAGCCACGAAATAAAATTAAATTCATGAGCATGATGTTCTTTGTGATGAGTGATTTGAAATATGTCCCTTTGTTTGTCGTGGCTGAGTCTCGGCCATCTCGATCTCGATGTGAATAGAATAGAATTGATGGATACGAGGCTGATGTAACGCCACAAAGACCCTTGTGGCGTCAGGGTGGGGCGCTCAGCCTGCAACCTCTAGGTTGTGTCTCATGCTTTTGACAATTGAAGCCAACTGTCAAGTTTCATCATGGCAACTACATGACCTCCCAACACTTTTCTCCACTCCCTTTCACTCACTCGATTCTTTTTGTCTCTCTTTAAATTCAATTGCCATTTTCTTCTTTTCACCATTGATCTTTGCGTGATTATATCTGCTTTCGCGACACTCCGAATCGCACGCATCTCGACTCCACTCACTACAAAGCGACGAACAAGATGGCGCGCTCAAAGCAGCCAGCCGTGAAGCGCGAGGCTTCGTCCGAGTTCTTTAACAAGAAGACTGCAGCCTGGGAAGATACGAATGGCGGCGCGCACAAGGGCTCCAATGGACACGCCGTCAAGAAGGCGGCTGAAGTTGCGCCGCTGGAGCAGAATGCGGGAGTCTTCCAGCTTGTCATTGCGGTTGCGGGCATCTACGCATCCTTGTAAGTCATGGCCGGCCACATCATGATGACTGATCGAGATAACTAACCCTCCAAGCTTAACATGGGCTTACCTCCAAGAGAAGCTCACGACGACACCCTACGGCCCGGCCGACGCCCCCGAGGTCTGGCACTTTCCCGTCTTTCTCAACACCATCCAGTCCGTCTTCGCCGCCATCGTGGGCGCCGTCTACCTCTACGCCTCGACACCGCGCAACAGCCCAGTCCCTCCCGTGATTCCCTCGCGTCGCATCCTCGCTCCCCTCGCCCTCGTCGCCTTTACGAGCAGTCTCGCCAGCCCGTTCGGATACGCTTCTCTTGCGCACCTCGACTACATCACCTTCCTCCTCGCCAAGAGCTGCAAGCTGCTCCCCGTCATGTTCCTCCACATTACCGTCTTCCGCCGACGGTACCCTCTTTACAAGTACCTCGTTGTCGCAACCGTGACACTCGGTGTTGCAGTCTTTACTCTGCACTCGGGGAAGAAGAGCAAGAAGGCGTCGGCGGTGCGGCCCGACGACGCGAGCACCGCTTGGGGTCTCCTCCTGCTGGGTATCAACTTGCTGTTTGACGGCTTGACCAACAGCACCCAGGACCACATCTTCCAGACCTTCCGCCCCTACTCAGGCCCCCAGATGATGTGCGCCAACAACCTCATGAGCTCCCTCGTCACCGGCGCATACCTCATTGGCAGCCCGTGGCTCGTCGCTACTGGCACCGGTGAGTGGCTCGGCATGGACGTTGCTGGCAGCGCGGGCGAGCTCAAGGCCGCTCTCGACTTTATGGCCCGGTATCCGGCAGTGTGGAGGGATGTCCTCGGCTTCGCAGCGTGCGGCGCCGTTGGCCAGGTGTTTATCTGTAAGTCCTCTTATTCACGACCATGGAAAGCTTCAACTAACCACTGTCATTCTAGTTTATACCCTCTCTACCTTTTCATCTGTACTCCTCGTCACCGTTACCGTCACCCGCAAGATGTTCACCATGATCCTGTCCGTTCTCGCCTTTGGCCATCGCCTGACACAGATGCAGTGGCTCGGCGTCGCCCTCGTCTTTGGCGGCATCGGCGTCGAAGCCAGTATTGCGCGTCAGGAGAAGATGGCCAAGGAGGCCGCCAAGAAGGCGCAGCAGAATGGAAACAAGAAGGATCTCTAATTGTTGTGTTTTTTGTCATGTTTTTGAGAGTTTGTGCTGTTAAGAGTGAAGAAGAAGGAGACGTCTACAACGTAAAACTACCTAGATCAGGCGTTGGATTCAGTGCATTACATTGTTTATTTACTATTATAAAGGCGCTAGAGGATTGCAAGAGTTGTAGGAAGCTCAGAGGAGCTGATTTTGGAGTTGCAAGATATACCTATATAGACCTTAAGATGGATCTACTTACAGAGTCTCTTCCATGGCGGCAATACATTAAATTAAACGCCGAAAATTAAACAAGATCAGAAAGTGTACAGCAGGCATGGTCACAGAATAGGCAATTTGATCATTGGAGAATCTTTTGTGCTTTCACCTAGCTAGGTATGTGATTTCTCGAACCACCTGCTTCAACTAGTTAAGATATCCTTCAATTCCAAAAACTCCCTCCCTGCTAGAACCCAAGATAGCAGAGGCCCGTCTTTCCCATCCATCCATCGTCATGTTTCCATCCCCCCCCCTCCCTTAGCTGGGTATTTGAGCCCTTTCCATGGGTCAAAGGGAAGGGTTTCCTGAGCCATACGCCACTCCCGTTTTTGTTGTCCAAGCTCAACAAAGCAAAGAAAAAAAAAACCAATGAGAACAAAGAAACGAGTTTTGTTTTAAAAAAGGAAACAAAATGTGACAAAACGACACCCAAGTCTTTTGTCTATATTACACTAACGTCTTCCTTCTGATTCAGAAAGACAATGTCGACACCGATGGAGGTGGAACCGTCCGACGCCTTGCGCTGTGCTTTGCTGAAAAACGAAAGTAGGAGGGGTTGCAGAAGGTAGCGATTGATTGGTTGATTGATGGACTGGTTAATGAGTCGATCGATCGATGATGGCGGTAACAAAGAAGATTGCTTGTTTGAGTGAGATATTTGCGTGTCGTCGTGCGTCCGGTCCAACAATGACCGGCCGTGGGTACAGGGAGCAGTTCACCCCTGCCTGCAAAAACGCCTGAAAATGCCGTGATTGTGTCGTCGAATAGTGAGGGTGAGATATATGGCGAATACAAGGGATATAAGCGAAAGTAAGCGGACTGAGTCCCCCTTGAGGGGAACCTGTCAACGCCGAGTCGGACGTCCGTTTTTCCAACACGGGTTAGGGTCAAGCCGAGTCCATATTGACTAAGCTCGATCATAGTAGATCGTCGATTGACCGGATAATGGGTGCCTCGCCTCTTGTTGGGGGGCTCCGGGGGTCTACCACCACTGCAGGGCTTCCGAACGTCGAGAATGGGTCGCGAGGGAACATTCCCGCTCGAGGGGAGAAGAGGCTCTGGCTGGGGGTTGGTGGGCACTCGACAAACCGCATGCCTGCAACTTCGCCAACCTCGTGGAGTGGGTTATTGGTCATCGTCTCGACCCGTGGGGATAGAAGAGCCTCGTCATCAGGGAAAGATCCTGGCAGGGTGATTGTTCTCGTGACAGGAGCATCGTCGTACTTGGTGCTCTCTGACTTGATCGAAGGTGGTGAGTTGAACCTGGGGAACGTCATGCTTTGGAAGCCAAAGCTTGACTGAGACGGGAATCCCGGAGTGGGTGGTGGCATCATATCAGAACCCAGACTAGGTGCCGGGGCCAGAGCGAGAGTAGGCGGCGGTGCCAGGGTTGGTGGTGATCTGCCGTGTCCTGACTTGGGCCGCTGGGGAAGACCTCCAAGCTGGAAGGGGGCCAATTGTTCCGAAGTCTGCTGCTCAACCTCTTCCATCCATGTACAGGTAGGTGGTGCAGAAGCTGGGCCTGGTGAAACGGCAAGTAAGCCGGGGGTTGAGTTCCCTCTGAGCCGGTTCGGGCTCGGGCTGAACTGGGTTTCCTTCACATCCTCAGCATGCGTAGGCAGAGGCGCTGTCTGGGGTGTTTTGGGGCTAATATCAATAGCATCGGCTGACAGAGTTAGTCGGTGCTTCGTAGGCGTACGGCCAGTACGGGGGCGATGAGCGGGTGGTCCAGATCGCTTTTCAGAGACCTCCTTCTGGAAATCCTGCAGCGAGTACATGAGCTTCATATTGGGGCTGATCCATTGGCTCTTGCTCTGGGCCGCATAGTAAGCATCGTTGACTGTGAGCTCAGGCTTCTGGTAGAGACCGTAGGCAATAATAAGACTGGCTGATCGACTGGCGCCCTGCTGGCAGTGAACAAGAACTTTCAAGCCAGCCTTGGTACGATCCTCAATGGTCTCACACAGTCTCATCAGATCCGGTGCGATGTCGGTGTTGTGATCCCAGGGAATGTGGATGTATTCGGGCTCCTTGAAGTGAGTTGCCTTGGGGGTCGTGGGCGTCTCGGCAGTTTCCTCTTCCGGGAAATACTCGAAAGCGGTAGCGAAGCTGGCTGTCGAAATGGCAGTATCGGGAACAGGGCTTCCGCCGTCAGGAGTCGAGTAACGGAAGTGCTCAAAAGTTGATCGGGAGTCCCGAATAGACTGGCGAAGCTCGAAAGGATTTCGGACTTCTCGTGCGCAGTTAATGACTACATCAAACCGCGAAGCCTCATCTGCGTTTGGTTCAGAATAGAGGTAGACGTTGTCGCCATAAATGGCAATCGGACCATCGGGATATCCTGGAGTCTTCATGTCCTCGTTGTTTTCGTTGTCGCGGTAGGGATCATCGTCCCGGATGGCCATTTGGGTTCGAATTGGCGAATCCTCTTCCGTAATTGCAGAACCAAACGATGGCTTCATGATCGACTTTGTAGGTCGCAGAACCTCGGACAGGCCAGACTCGTTCCGCTCAAGAACCTTGGGAAAGGTCATACCACCGGGTGGGCCAAAGGTAGACGACTTGAGGCCCGAGGACATGTGAGGTGAGGAGCACGAGTGCTTGAGAGCGCGGCGCTGCAGCATAGGCATACCTGGCGAGGGGGGAACCTCGAGTGTTGTCCTGCTGATCAAGTCGGAGGTGTTGGTCTTGAGGCTCAATTGGCTCGGCTTCCGCCTCATCGCAGGGATCATCGGCTTGATGAATGATGGCGAGGAAGGTTCCGAAACCAAGGAAATGGTCGTCGTCGCAGTTGAGCTGGCAAAGGGGGGCTGGATCGACAGACCCTTCATGTTGCGCGCCCGGCGCGGCGAGGGCGAAGTCATGGGTCGCTGTAGCCGCGGGGGCTCGCTGAGCAGCATGGTAGGATTAGCAGCAGGAAGAGCGCCAAAGCTCGTGGCGGGAAAGCTATTGAGGGGAATGAGGTTTGTCGGAGAATCGGGGGACGAGGACGGAGACGGGTCTGAAAGAGGCGAAGAGTCGGTTGTGGACAGCGTTGTTGTGGGGGAAGAGTCGGCCGACTCTGAGGTTTGAGTTGAGGTGCTGTCATGGTGCTTGTGGGTTGGATCCGCGGGAAGCATACTCGGCCGGAGGCCATGCTGAGTGGCACTCATCATGCCAGGTCGCTTGGGTTCCAGATCGACAAACTTGGGGTCAACGACGGTGACAGTGTCCTGGTCGGCCATGGTCTCGGCATCCAGATCAAACACTGTCATGAAAGGTGGTATTTGGTCCTCGTAGGCTCTCCGGTCTGTTACTGACGGCATGATTTGCTTCCGTTCCGCGTCGCGGTCTGAAAAGTATGTTGTGTCGTGTGTGTGGTGAATCGATGTGGGCGTTAAAGAGCCAAGTGTGCTCTTGTCGCTGACGAGGGCGTTGGCTGGAATTCCTCGGGGCGTTTCGGATAACCACGCTATTTTCCACCTGGGACAGCGTCGTTGTTGATAGATATTATGAAGTTATGTGCGCAAGTTTTCAAACAAAGCAGCAGAACAGAAAGAAAGATTATTCCGGGCAAACAAATGAGTGTTGTCGCGGCCGAGGTGCGATCGAGAGCAAACGGTCGGTCGTTCGATGGATAGCGCAGCTGATCCTGTCACTGAAGGCGCGAGTGGTGGGCAGTGCTCGGTTCGAGAGCCAGAATCCTTTCGGGGTCTTGGCGAGTAAAAAGAGAGGAAAATGAGCCTTGCGATAAGCGGAGGAAAAGGTGCTCCGGGAGCGAAAAAGACGACGGATTGAGGCGATAGAGGAGTTACTATCGTCGGTCGGACCTGGGGTGTAGCAGGGAGAATAAGGAACGAGCCCAGAGCAGAGAAGAAGTGAGACAAAGAATCGGCGTCTCGGCGAGGAGCATGCGAAGGATAGCGGGCTGCAGGGCTGGAAGTGGCGCTGTTACAATGGCAAGATCATTATTCCCTTTGCCAAGGAGACCGAGTCGTCGTCGAGGTGAGGTGAGGTGAGGGTATACAAGGCGGCTGGGGAGGGGAAGAGGAAGCGAAGGGAGAAGGAGAACAAGATTGAATGAAGATCAAAGTGAGGAGAGAAGTAAGTGAAGAGACGGGGAGTGAGGGATGAGAGGAGGAACGGCGAGTAAGATGGATGGAGAGGAGGAGTGTGAGAAGAAAGCGAGCGAGCGCAGCGCGTCTGGGATTGGATTGGATTGAGTTTGGTTGCCAACAGACGCTGGGTCTGGGGGGGTGGATGCAACTTGGACTCTACAAGTTCAGGTTTTCGGCGGCACTGTAAGTACCCTGCCTGGACACTGGGCCTCACACTGGGCAGCGCAGGCAAGGCAAGGCACACGAGTGGAGGCACAGGCACAGGTCTTCTACAGGCCCTGCGAGTCCAGGTCCCGTCAGCTGGAGCTGGTGGAGGCGCTGTAAGAGGGCGACCGAGCGCCGCCGACAGAGCAACGGCGGCACCTAAAACAATCCATCCCAGGGCCAGGCCGGACCAGCCCTGGCACCGAGGCTCAGTCTTGCCTGGATGCGCCCCCTTCGGCGGCAGCGAGACGAACCCAGCGCCTGTCTGAAGCTGCTGATGTTTCCGTCGCTCCCCTACGGTTATGGATCTCTGCAACAGGCGCGAGGCTGGATGCATCAATGGCGGTTATGCCAGAAGAGACACAGGAGACTGGACGTGAGACGACTTTGGGGGGCGGGTACGGTATTCTAGTGACCTCCATACGGAGGAACCGTGGATCGGTTACCAGCAAGCCGAAACCAGGTCAGGGTTTCCAACTTGGGGGCAGACGGTGTCCAATAGCAGGCTACGTGTAGAAGAAAAAAAAAGACTCCTAGAACATCCAGGCGACCAACAGAAGAGAGAGCCATCGAGAACAGAGCCAGCAGACAGACGCAGAGAATCCCATCATCTCAGAGGATGACCCGATGGGGCAAGCAACGAGGAAGGCGCTACGAGGGACCACTCACAACCCCTGCTTCCCCGTTCCGGGTTAGCCCCAGCCCATGGTCTTCTGCAGTCTCTGGGCGCCGCCGCTTCGTGAGTGGAGGGGGCACGCAAGCACGAAACACGTCCGGGGGGCTAAATATAGAGCGGACGTGCTCCTCCTCGCCCATCACCCAGCGCCAGCGCTCTGCAGCGGGTCGTGGTAGGCGTCTACGGCGAGCCAATCACGGCCCGCAGGCCAAATTTGGGACTTGAGAGTTGGTTGCAAGGGGGGGAGACCAGGGGCGGGGTGCAAGGTCGAGGGTTTAAATTTAAACCGCTGGTGGGCCAAGGACGGGTACCTCCTTGTTTGCAGCAACCATTGTGCACTGTGCGATCCATCCAGTGAGAGTGATGCTTCCATCCATCCTGCGACGGATGGATAATTCCAAGAGAACCGGTGCGGATAATGGGGGTAATTAGTCCTGTTAGGCTATCTGAGATCTCGACGGAACTAAGAAACAACCATACAACAACACCAGCCATTCAAAAGCTCGAGACAAGGCCGAACTTGCAAGATTCCAGCTCACTCTCTTGGCTATCCAACCCCCCAATCTCAGTTATGTAGGGCAGCAGGTCTTCTTTGCATATCCGTAGTCCCATAACTGCAAAACACAGCAGCTTACGGAACACGATCTCTGTCACTCTCGATTATCGTCTCAACTCGCGCGGCGCGGTGCGCCACTCCGTAAAGCCATGTCCACACAGCCAAGAAAAACCCAAAAGCCCAGAGGTCCGTCCTGCTACCCCGGCCCGCCGTCGCCCCGTAACCCCGTCTCATCCAAATGTTCGGTGATTCGGGCGTCTGGCGTCACAGTCACAGGTGGGCAAGGGGGGGTCTCTGCTCTGAGTGAGACTTTGTCGCCGTCTCTCGCTCGCTCTCGCTCGCGCGGTAGTGGTCAAGGTTCATGGTCAGGGTCAGGGTCAGAGACACAGGCAGAGAGAGAAGACCGCCCGCCGCCAACTATTACATCGGATGGATGCTATAGATTACTTCTGCCCTGATCGAAACCCGCTGAGATTGGAACCCCAGCATGTGGCCGCTCGGGTGCACTGGCTCCCGAGTGGCCACTGGGTCGGGTCGCTGGCCGGGCAGCGAGCAGGTGTCATTCAATATGATCGAAACACAGACACCCAGGTCTCGCGTGGCTTTTGTTTGGGGACCAGGCCAGGTGCAGGAGCCGCTGCCGACCAGACCAGAGGAGGAGCTGTTCTCTTGGTTGTTTGGTCGGCTGTAGCTTGTCCGTCTGTATGTCTTTCTGTCTGTCGCGGAGAGGCCTCGTGGCTGGGTCGTTTTAGTTGCGCCACCTCGCGGCGTCTATCGTCTGAAAGCGGCTGTGGCAAGGCTTTCCAGCTGGATGCCAGTCATGTTTGGATGAATCAAGGCGCCTAGAGAAGCTCGTGGACTCGAGTGAAATGGCGAGACCAGGGACAGCGTCTAGTTTCTCGTCTTGGAGAGGCAGCAGGCAACTAACAATACGCGCCCCAGCCTCTATACGAAGACTACCTACCAACCTACTCCATCTTGTCTTCGTACGACAGAACGACTCCGCAGTCTAGGTCATGCGGATGAGTCCAGAAGCAAGTCTTTAAACAGAGATTGGTCAATCTTGATGTCTCGGGGATACCCTTCAGCCACTGAGGACTTTCGACATGGCCAACACCAAAACCAACCGGGAGTTCTTCTCCATTAGCCTCGTCTCGTCCGTCCCGGGCCTCGAGCTCGAGGTAGCCAAGCCACAGCCAAGAGTGTGGCTCAGTCGGAGAGCCCCTGTCTAAAAGGGGGAAATCCTAGTTTCAGCTTCTCTGGATCGCTCACTAACACGCTCCGTCTTCCCCATACCAGCTGACTCCCTTCATGGATCCCATACTACGCAAGAAGCAGAACAAGGCAGGAGGTGATGCAACAGTCGGTCACAGTAAGATTGGCCTCTGGACGATCGATGCACGTCAAATTGCTCGAGGCTCAGGGCCAGGGGCGATGTTCGCAACAAACCCACTTGGATCTCGAATAGCGACGCCTTTTTTTTTAGCTGAAGCGGTCGTATTCCCGTAAAGGCGGGTTTCGAGACGACGGGACTCACAGTGAATGATTACTGTATAATCGTCCCCTGCAGGGTTCATCTGCCTCTGCTTACGACCTCCTGCTATTGCCGGAAGGCCAAGTCTGCTGCAGGCCTGTCAGAGGCAGCGAAAGGTCACGACGGGTTCCCTCTAGTCAGATGAGCCACCTGAAAGTTGCAGCTGTTTTCTCCAGCACTGTGCTGTGTAATCCTCAGGGACCCCTGGGGCGCGCGCGCCATTGTCTCTAGCCCGAGATTGAAGCTAGAGCTAGCCCGCCGATGGACGCGTTTGGGGGCGGGTCTGAATCTGAAACGAGAACTCGCCCATTTCATTCATTGCAGGGTCGCTTCGCCTTCTTGCTACGCGCAACCGTCTTCATCATCCTCCTTGAAAACTTCTCCTGTCTCCTGCTTGACTCCTGTGATGGACGGATGCAAAACGCTTGGGCGTGTCGACCGCGCCGGCGCTTGTTTCGAACAAACTATCTTCTTACCGCCAATGTCACTGCAAGGAACATCGCAACAGGCTTCAAGCTCCTTTCTCGGTTTGAACTCGGCCGAGTCGGATAGGGATTTGCCCTTTGTTTTAGGGGGCCACAGTTTTGTCCTCCCGAAAATCTTCTGCGTCACGCGTTGCCGATCAGGGTCTTGCCACTGAAGCTTCTGGTAGTGTAAAGGTGGCAACACGAATCAAGGTCCGCATGATCTCATAGCCTGATGAATCATTGAACAGGCTTGACATTCTGTGCTTTCCCTATACGGAATGGCAGACCCGAATCCAGCGTGACCTCAAGGTTTGGGATATCCCGTCGTGCCCGTCCGCGTCCTGCCACGAGGCGACGTCCTTAAGACAGCTCTTAAGATGACTGTTTAGACAAACTCTAACAGCATGGTGCCTCAACCGGGATATCCCAAGGTCGCTAAACTTGCCGGGCAGCAATACCGGGCCGGAACACCTCCTTCACGTCATATCATCCCGTCTTTGCTCTGCTTAGGCTCGATCTAGGCGCGCGATGCCGTGGGAACGCTTCCCGGTGTCTATGGGGACTACTCTACGCGGCATGGCGCCATTTCCCCAACTTGCTCACGTTGAGGAGCAGCTCATCTTTCAATATTAAGAGGTTACCAAACGCATGGATAGTTTTCCCGTACATGGGTCCTTGGTGGTATTGGCACGATTCTCCGTGTTGGAGTTTCAGGTTCGACGGAACGTCCCGAAACTCAGACCAGTAATGGCATTGTCTCCAGCAACCGTA